TTAAGCAGACATTAAATAATCAAACTTAGGAGCAGTTTACTCACGCCCAGCAAGAAGATTCGTGAACCGCGTTGAGCAAATTCTACGCAGGTGTACTAATAACCAACAGCTCTCTCCCTTAACGAGATGAATCTACATATCTTTCTCCCAAAGTGGTCACCAAAATTTCCGTCAAAAAGACGATGAACCGAGATGAGGGAGTTGTCACTTACCGATGAGTCAAATAATTGAACCAGTTGATATCTGTCATTCGGTGCAAAGCGTTTAAGGGTAAAAAACTGACACGAGTCGCAGAACCATTGTCAACCCAATCAGTATAACGGAGCAAACCGTGGGTTGTAGCTGAGATGTCAGCAGTCGGACAGTTGTTATGACACCAGCTACTAAGCCAACAGCTTTGTAGGGTTGTGGTGCATGTAGGAAACTGAATAAACAAAACAGGATTTACATATGTTCGTTTGTTTTGATCCGACTTAATGACCATGAACTGATTTGCTCCTGCGGTATGTTAACGTCGCCGTTTTCCATTCGGGGTAACGGGATAGACGTTTTTACGCCAGCTTTAATCTCTAAGAGAAACAGCAAAATAGCTAGTCATGCTTTGAAATGACAGAAGATGGCTATGACTGCGAAGTGGTTAGGTTGATCATATGTTAAATAGCCCGACAATCGAAGTAGCTGTGGCACTCGCCTTGGAAAAGGCACGACTTTTTTCTCACAGTTGATTGGATGGTGGGTTTGCAGTGTGACTTCGCCCACCTAACAACGTGTGCGTGCGTGTGTTGCAGTTGCAGTGAGGTGGGTTGACTGGGGTGATCAATAGACGCTGGCGTGTTCGTGTGTGGGAGGTGTCCCATTTTTCTACACCCGTCCCACTTGGTGGTGCTTTTGTTCAGTGATGGGTTCGATTTAATTGTGTGGGGATAATTCAACCACAGTTAGCTTCCAGTAATCATATGGGTTTCATCTGAGTTACACTTAATAAGTGAAAGTTCGTGGAGAATTATTTACTGTCGTATCCTAATAATGAATTTATGGCTATTTTATTTTGCGTAATAACGACTTGACTGCCACTTAGATTCATAGATCATTTGTAAAACCATATTTATTAATTTTACGAATGTCCTAAACCTTCACCTTAGCTGGATTCCTGTAAAAAAACAGCTTTTAAAATTGTTTTGATGACGATAATTTTTTTATTTCAGACGTTAGTACCCTAATAGTAAGGCCATCACTGACTCCAGACTAGTCCAGTGAAGAAACATAATAACAAGGGAAGAGTCTAACCATAAACTGGCTCCTAAAGCCAATCGAGCTGTAAATCGATGAGTGAAAACCAATCAACTTTCCATGGACGAGAAAGCATACGAACATGAGATGTGACTTTGGCAGTTGCTTTTAGGAAAGAGCGTAGTGCTCGTGTTATTCATTTTAACACCTGAACTTTAGGTCAAGTTTTAATGACTAACTTGCAGGATTCAGTAAAAATTTCCTAAACTAGTCCTCTCTTGGTGCTAAAACGTTAAGGGTTGGAAGTTTCACCTTCACGAAGACATTTTTTTGCTTTGAGGAGTCAATCGTGGTTGCATTAATTCAGTTTATCCCCACTGACTATTTAGCCCGTAACGTGGAGGAGGCTCATTAAAGTTTTACTTTAACAGGATTGCAGTTGGGATCAAGGTAGACTGATCTACGAAGTAAACCCGTTGTGGGCCCAGCATGTGGTCTTGAACCACGCCGGGCCACTGAATTAACCCTGGCCCGATTACGTTTCCCTGGTACCCACGATGAAGAAAGACCGGAGAGGACGTGGACACAACCGTTTACCTCAGAGCCCAACCACTTTGGTGTTGTTGTCGTGGTTGGCATTTGCACGTGTGTGTATTTATGCCTCTTATACGTGAGTCATGCATGCGCTAACATCGAGACCTAGGTGTGAGGATAATCCAAAGTAAATATCCGCGTGAATGAGGGGGGAGTTGAGGATCCGCGCGGAGGCGACATGCTGCGAAAAGGGGCACCCTGTTTCAGAGGTTGAAGTGGTCAGTTTAGCTAGTGTTAACCAACACGATTCACAACAAACTAATTTGCCAAAATTTAAGTACATTTATTAATACCTATAGTGATTTTGATACCAGTGCTGACTGACCATTTGTGACATCCTATTATCGTCTCTTTGGACTTAATGCATTAAGCTTTTCAATGCACAAAAGGTTTCTTTTGATTCTAACGGCGATAAAGCTATTATACGATCCACGAAAGAAACCCCGACTCAACAGTGACTGTAATGGCAAAACCAAGAGGTGAGGTGACCTCTAACTGTCATCATAAAACTCATGGACACCCTACTCACAAACTGTTCACGAGTTTAATAAAAATCTACCCAAATGACTGACAGGAGTTTGTGCAAAACAACTCTTAACTCATGGCCCTATTGTAATAAAAGAGACTGGCCTCAAGGGAACATTATCCTGTAGGTTGAGCATTCCTATTAGCATGGATCTGCGAAATCACAGACCTAGCAATAAGCACTTACTAAAAATACTGTTAACACGGAAACAATTTTAACTTCTTTTAAGTATGAGTAGTGAAAATCGTGTCCCACACTACCGCGGTTCTGCCTCAAGAAAATGACTTCACTAACCAAGTTCATCTAGCTAGCCGCATTCGTGAAATTACTATATTTAGTTGTTACGCATGAAACTGGCCGTATAGAATTCGAAGTGCACTTAACAACAACTGATTCGTGCGGCCGAAAAAAATCCGACCAGGCATAATAAGGTCCGCCAAACAATGGACAAATAGGCAGCATTATACTACACGCGGACAAATTTGCAAAGGTGCGTTGATATGTCGTGTGTAGTCTTACCATATTAACACATCCAATCAGAAAATGATGTGCTTGAGATCGGCTGAGTTTGCATTATCTTGTTCGATCACTTTTTTAGTCTACTTTAAACCCTAGTAATGAGCAGAACCAGTTACTCTGCCATCTCCATATACCGCATGTGGACCATGCTCAGTGTATGCAAGCGTTTCTAATAACGCGCGTAAGGTCATGGCAGTGGTTGATGGTACAGTTACTCCGTCCATTATCATTGTTACCATTTGGGTAAAATTTTAAAAAAAAAAAACATTTATTTGAAGATTTCATTCTACGAATCTTTGCGGCGAAATTCAAGATGAGGCATAACGTGGCGATTTCGCTGAAGTATAGTGAATGTTGTGAACTAAAATAACGAATTATGGTCTAGTTCCTTTAACTAACGACAATAGTCCCATTCAAAAGAACAAAATTTGGCTTACACTGATTTATTCGTTACCTTTTCACTGGAAATTGTAAATCAGTTAAAGATATGTAATTTGACTAGGAGTAAATGTTATGATCAACAAAACGCGAAGTAAAATTTGGCATGATTTTACTTTGCATCCACTGATTAATAGTCATTTTGAACCTGGCGTTGCGATCTACCACTACCTTTTATTTCAGACACAAGGATTCTCATTGTAAATCAACACTATCACCTTTATGCTTAGTATTCAATTGGTTTTTATTAGCACAACGTATCGGGAGTAAATCGAGGGTGTGGTTCCATGACGGCTAGGGTACGATCTAGTGGAAGAATTACTCCATCTACTTTGAATTTCCCCCGAAAATAGGCCACGTCGATGAAAGAGATGGCATTCCCACAACCGTTTTTCAAAATCACGGCATCTAAACAAAGCCACCGTGGCCTCTGTTCCATTCTCACCGGAACCTCTACCGGGGAAACTTCCCGCGCGGAACGGCTCCAAATTAAGGCCAGGTGACACCCTGGAGTGAGCATCCACGGATCCAACCATGTTTAACCAAGGATTTCTTGAAAGCTAGATTACTGAAAAGTACCAGATCTGCCGACGCAACCTAAGCAATCAGACTGGTCCCCAGAATTTAATATCAAGTCACTGTTTGGGATGAAAAACCCGCCAAATGAGGCCGGCCTGAGTATCAGTAGCGTTGGTAATGACTCCACCGCGAACAACCACCCTGTTTATTTGTATCTAGTCCAACCATTCAATGGCTGAGAGTGTAGGCACGGTAAAATGAGCAAGGCACAGGCCACTAGCCTCATACGACGAAATCGAACGCTGTACAGCACCACCGCCTACTGCTATGAAGCAAGGCTGCACACACATACCGTTGGAAACCAATCGCCCACACCGCCACCCTAGCATTGTACTCGAGTGTACCACAGTCTGATGGCCAGTACACAGTGCACGCCCGCAGGAAACCTGGATGCTACTGAAGCAGACAACACCCAGTCGGACACCTAGTTATTACCACTGGCTACTTCTTTTAGATAAAAACAGGAGAACGACCTCGCAAGTAGCAACTTGAAACTGGTCCAATGCTCTGCAATGTGTAGTTAGAGGCCGCAGTGCGCACCTGCCACCTAAGCGCTTCGATGAGAATATCCATGCAAAAAAACAGAGGGCGATAAAGAGACCGCGTACTCACTTCGCTCCGTTAACACTTGAACTGCAACGGGTTTTACAAAGAAATGGTTCTTAATTTATTAAAATTGACTTGATGTTAGTGTGCAAATCGTCCTCTGGATGTCTACGCTCCTGGTGTGCAAATAAGGGGTCCAAATACCAACCTGCGAAGTCAAGAAAAAGAGGGAAATTTTAACAGATTTCGTTGGATTTTGTTGTGCAAGGACCTAAACCCAGAGATGAAAAGATTTAGAATCTTCATCGAGGTGCCGGAAAGTTCGATTTTAAGACGTCAAAAACAAGAGATACGAGATGACGAAGAGGATTATTAGGCGACGATGAGGATGGGACACGCGCTTACGCAGAAGTATTCTCGCAGTGTACAGAAAATGCGTAATTGTTAAACTCAAACTAGGGTAACAATCTACCAACGAGCACAATCGAAAACCCGACCAAGCGATCAGGAATGCATTTACTCCCGCCTGTCACAGTCAGGGGAGTTCTTTTCACCCTCTAGAAAGTAATCATAAATTACTTGTCTTACCGTCGGTTTCAATATCTGGCCTCCAAAGTGTTAAGTTATCACGAAGGAGCTGCATGATTAGGGTAGAATCCTTATAACTATCTTCATTAAGAGTATCTAGTTCCGCAATAGCATCGTCGAATGCATGCTTAGCAATATGGCAGGCCCGGGCTGGGTCGTTCATAATTTCGTAGTAGAAAACAGAGAAATTCAGCGCCAAACCAAGACGAATAGGATGGGTTGGCTGCAGTTCGGCAACACCAATGTCCGTTGCAATCTTGTAAGCTTCGAGGCTACGCTTTGCTACTTCATCGCGTTCAGGAGGTGAGGCGATTTCAGCAAGATACCTATTGTAATCCCCTTGCCTGAGTGGGAGTTAGACATGTAAGGAACTTACATCTTGTAGTAGAAGACTTTTGAATCCGCAGCCTGAGCACGAGGAATGAGATTTTTCTCCAACAGTGAGATAATTTCATTTGCCATCCGCTTAAGCTCTTTTTCAATTTGCTCTCGACACGCCTTGACATTTTTTACACGCTCACTTCCCTTTTCTTTTGTTTCGATCGCGTTAATAATCCTCCATGAAGAGCGACGAGCCCCAATGACATTCTTGTACGCAACAGAGAGCAAGTTGCGCTCCTCAACTGTCAGTTCTGGGGACGTATCGTCGTTAGAATTCACAATTTCACACATGAAACCAGCCATATCTAATAGGAATAAATACAGAAACTATGAACTCACCATCGTAGCGTTCAACTAATTCAGCCAATTTGGCTTTCGTAAGCAAAGCCTCAGGAGAACACTTGACGGCCATTCCGGGATACACTTATGAGACTTAATGGCTGCATTACATTGGGAATTAACCTAGTAAAACAAAACAGTTCTGCATTTTGCCACCTCTTAAACAGTCAAAACGCAGATCTGTAATTTGCTTTTTTGTGCTCTAAACTTATTTTAAATATTTAGTTTTTTGAAAGCAAATATTTATGCATTGTCTAAAGCATAATGGCAATATTTGGTACCAACGAGTGATTTTCTAAATAAGTTAAGGCAACATTAGACAAGCTTATAGTTAATTTTTTTTAAATCAACTCTACTAATTATATTTAAGTGTCTTTTTTGATGATATTAATTGATCACATCAGTTGGTTAAATTGTTTATCAACTTCCGCTACTATTATTAAAGTCTAACTATATTTTAAAACTCTCGCAAGATATGTAGCAATTAGATAACTTAGGCATGAAAAAATCCTGTAAAGCTTTTAGCTTAGCTTATTATGTGTTGAATTTGGAAAATGTTCTCGAAGCATATTAGGTATTGGTGTCGCAGGCAGCTAAATATGCCTGTTTCGCAGATTGCAGCCAGAGACCTTCGCCATGGTAATCAGTAAGTTCATTTAAAATATCTATTATAATGTGCAAAGATGAAAGGAACCATTTGATTACTTCTCTTTACCAAACTATTTATTTATCCACTAAGTCCCTGGTGCACCCTCTTTTTCCCATATAATTTAATATTTTGTTATTTATTTCTCATAAGGTTGTATAAAACCTACATTATCAGCAAACTTATTTACTGCATAAGAAAGCAGGTGTATTTGACTTAGGTATAAAATCATTTGTTTAAATTCCATGAGCAATTTGCATCAAATTTCGTGATGTTGAACAGAGACATCAATAAAGGATTCAAGTGTTACGATTGGTACATGGAAGGCCTTTCTTGGCACTGTAGTTTAAGGAATATTTTTATCAATTAGATGTTCTTTAATGTAGAATTAGATCACTTTAAACCCATTTAAGAATTGACATGCCATCATATCAACTTTTAACCATAGCTCATAGTTTGTGAGTAAATGTTAGTAGTTAAAAACTGCATTTGGTGGTGGACGAATATACGCAGGATGTTTACTGTCTGTAACATGGACATTTTGCTGAGCTTACTGTAAATATACTTGATTTCACTGCATATTGCAATTGATTTCACATGATCGTGTTGTCTTCTGGTTCTTTCATACTACTTTAGTCTCCTATATTATTGGGCTATTCCTAGATTAAGAATTCGCCTAAAGCGAATTGCAATCATTTGTTATTATAATTTTCCTAACTAACTCACTTCTGCTAGTCAACAGAAGCCTAAAATTCAATTTGGTCTTATCCTTCTACTTTACTCGGTAGTGAATCATGTTTAGTCCCATTCATCAGCACTGTTCCAGCAGGCTTTAACTCACTGCCCTCCTTCCCTCCGTGCGGAGCCGCCTGTTTATCCATTCCTCTGCATATACAACCCTCACTACTAGCTTTATCCATGTGACCATTTGGGTGTTTGCACTTTTTGCTAATCCACTTATTTGTATCAATCTGCAAAAGCACAAAACTCAGGATATACCATTAATAATTCTGATTTCCTGCTAAAATTTTTTGCGTATTTTCAAATTTATGTCTGCGAAGGATGCCCAAGTCAGTAGTACCTTTTTAACACTATTTAATATAATGTGTCGAGATTTAGATGACTGACTGATGTTATACTGTCCTAAATATAAATTAGTATGAATATTAATTGTTAACCAATCTCTCATGCCATTTGGGATAAATCATACATCGTAAAAACTTCATCACGCGTTTACTAATTCGACACCACCGTAAAGGTCACACATAAATCAATGTTTACGTGACGGCGTTAAGACATAGCTTTGTATCTCGGAATCTACTGTTGAAGCAATCATGTCAAGACGTTATTGGCAGGCCATCAAATTTTATCCGAAGACCTCAAAGTAAAATTTTTTGACCCTTGATGAGGATTCATTACATTTTTTGCGTTGATACACATAAAACAAGGCCATACTAGCGTAATACGATATGGTCGATTATTTACTTGCTTCCACTCATGTACAATGCACACATTCTTAGTACGCACTCCTTTTTGCACATTACATCTGCAAATAGCAGGAAAGCATCATCAAAGATGACTTTACCTTTGACTTTACCCTTGACTCCTTATAGGCAATAAAGTGGGCATAATTCATTTGTTAGAGGCGAGACTACCAAAACATTGGTGATAGGGAACTGGATAATTTTTTCCTTTCTCAAATGTACGCATATGTTTTGTGGTTTGCTGGCGTAATGCTATGGAAATAGTTCCTACCTGATAAAGTCTTTTATGTAAAATAAATAGAAAAAGAAGGGATCTGAACGACAAGCATTTAGCTAAATAAAATGTCAAACCAAGTGATTTGCATTGTTTGACGCCCAACAGGATGATTTGACTTTAAAAAATTATTATTCAGACCTTCGATTAAGTGAATATTTACCTATTCTAGCAGCCAGTCTAAAATGGTAAATGGTGCAGGGATTTTCAAAGGTTTTTCAGTTAAATTTGTTGCTGATAAATATATTCAGTGGCTTGATTTGCGAAGGTTGAGTTTGAACACCAAATAAATTTGAATGTAATGATTGAGCTTTGCAAACTTAATTTTTGTTGATATTAGGAAAGTTTTCCAAAAGAAAGCATATCAATACTTTTCTCTTTTTTAATGTAGGGGTTCTGGTTCACCAACTTGTAAATGATGTGGACGGCATTTAAGAGTATTAGTAGGAAGGTAACGGTTTTTCTGTGTGCTGAGCAAGCTTTACATTAATACCAAAGATCCGGAAAATGGGCAATTGTGAAACTCATGGAAATATAATCTTGGCACTTTTAAAAATCAAAAAAATCTGAACTCATCTTTACACGTAACTCGACAAAAAAGTCTAATTCCACTAAATTTATCATTTTGAATTGCGTCAACTTTTTTTACTCAATCTGTGCTGGTTTGTGGATTGAGATCACTTAGAAACGAAGGCTTGAAATCAAGAGCAAACTGGTTGCAGAAGCATCGGGAATGACATTCAGAAAGAGAGGGCACGTGCATGGAACAGAAAAAGTTTGGTGTCTTTTTCGGCAACGTATCCAACTTCAGACCAGTAAACATTGACTTGTCGTAAGCATTTGTAAGGGATCTAACGCGAATGTACTTGAAAATAAGTTAGTTACAAATCAGGTGCCCTTTTTCGGCATAAAGAGCTTTTCCATCAACTTTGCTGTATGATTCTTACTGACATTGAAGTTAGCTGACGAATTTTGCTTGCATTTTATTTGTGTACACATTAGCTAGTGGTTCAAGTTTTACATATGTGATTCAAGTTATTACATCGTTCTATATAATTTAATGTATTTTTCTCTATTGTGAACATTTTTTACCTCGCTTGGAATGTGCAGTCATGGTGTTAATTCAGCTTTTCCAATCGTGAAAGAAATGAACATATCTACCAGATTACTACTTCTAGATCATCATCTTTGGCTGACTTGAATGAATTGCTTTGAGGAGTCGAACAATATTCTGAAACTAATTGAGTCACATATTATTCATGCTGGTAATTCTTACCAGGTATTTGTAAATTTGTAGATTTATGACAAATTCCTGGTTCAAAGGTATGGTGTGGTACCCATATTATTAACTAATTACCTGTGAGTGACATGGACAAACATTTAGACAGTGCATTAGGCAAAAATGGGCACATTTGCGCTCTTCCTATCATTTATTTTGGTCCGGACTATATTAATATTCAAATTCCTATTTCTAATTTTCGAATTATTTGCTATATGATGAACGTAATAACACCACAGCATCTGTCAGTGGATTTAGACAAGATACCTGCTTCTTCGATATATGATGCATGAATTGCAATGAAACTTAAAAAGGGCAAACATCTTTTTGCTTAAACAGCCAGCAAAACGCCCGAAACACAAAATGGTATACGTTAGCATTTATTGTACAAATAGAGGCAGAAATTGCTTATCTATTTTGCAAAGCCCATGTTAATGAGGTAAATAAGAAAGTAACTATCAAATTGTAAATCAGTTAAATCCGTGTAATTAACTCTGGCTTCTTCTGATTGTGAAAGTTTTCTTCTTTATTATGCCTTAAGATTTCCAAAGATTTGTGTGCAATTTCCTAATAAACCTGCCCTAATGTGAATTTCTTGATTTGCTGGTCTAACTTAAAATGCACGAAACCTGTCTGTCAATGATATCTAAGATTGGAGTTCAATCGCAAGTATCTCATAGTCCATAACAGACAGTCGTAAGCGTTTTGCCTTACACTAACTAGTTACTTTTTTCTTTTAAATTCATTAATGGGATTATATCCCTAAACTAGAAGTCCTCAAGTCCTGACGGAAAAATCCATGCAAGCATTACTGTAGAAATCCAGAGTAGTGGAAACATAAGACAACTGACTTGACACGAACTAGAACCATGGATGAAACTCCATCCGATTCCTCCAAATCGGCTGCCCCACTCATTATGTAATGCCTCTATTCCTACCTTGTCTCAAAGTAACTGAAGGCCTTCCTTTGTAGGTCATTCAAAAGCACACCGACAGGGAATTGTATTTACTCAGCGTGATCCAACATGGCAGCGCTTTGATACTGCACTACTATCGAATACCCGGTCCCAAGTATAAATAAGACTGATACAACAGAAGTAGCCTTATTGAAATATGATACGTCAGAATCAAATTTCAAGCACCGTCCGTCCGAGTCTACCATGTTGGCAAAGCCGATCGTTATTTACCGCTCTCATACGTGTCTGTCTCTGGTTGGCTGCATATCTTTTTCACATGTCATTAGAACAAAAAGGGACAGAAGATTGATTGAAGCCGACGTAGTATTTATACGTCACCACACCCACCATTGTCAAATGGGATGGATGCAAACAAATGCTCGTGGTGACTGACAATGTATAAATGCCCAACAAAGCCTAGAACAAACACTTTCCAAAGACCTAAATGAAAACTCTTTTGTACGTAATGACATAATAATCTTCTCTGGGTCATATTTTGGCGCTCAATTCAAGCATCACTGCTATCAATAAGTGCTGACACGCAACATTTTGGGAGATCGAAACGACCTCCACGTCAGCCCAAGAACGGGAAAACGAAGATATAACTTCAACCACTAATCACCTCATACTAGATTATTGCAGTAATTTACCAAAAGTCGGTGATATGCTGTCGAATAAGGTAGTCATTTTTGGTTCGACTTAGGCAATTGTAGTATGAGTAGACGTCAGCCTGTAACGCGCGAGCACGGATCTGTCCTAAGAGAAGAAATGAACTACTTACGAGTCAGCACGAGACATGCAATCCAGGCAAACACTAGGAGCTAAGTGCGGGATGGTGAGGGAGGAAACATCGAGAAGACTTTATTCGGAACACGGTTACAAGACAAATAGAGCAGAAAGAGCGTAAACTGAGCGATAGATTTTGGGAGACAGGAGCCAATCCATACACTAGTTGTTGGGCAAGCCTAAAGAGGTAAAAATAATGGGAGAAGTTACCAGACATGAACAAAGCTCACTGTCAAAGAGTGTGGTGTGCGTGAAACGCCCTCATTTCCAACAAAATATCGCGTCCTTTTTATACAGAACCAAACACTAAAGTAAGATTGTTCGTCCAAATGTCATCCAGTTTTGAGATATCAAATAAGCCAGGCCGAATTTGACTGTTTAAAGAACGTGACTCAGAGTAGATAATCAAATTTGTACTCAGACTAGAACTCTACTATACTTACGTTTAAGCTTAAACGAAAAACGAAAAATCTTTGGAACGGGACGCCAGCCTGGTCTGCAGCAGTCGAAGTCACAGTAACCATGTCTGCGCCCTTATACGCCTGCGCGATAACCTATGGATTCAAGCAGAGCTGATGAGTTGGATTTTTGCACTCCGAAATCTGTAATTTGGATAGTTTCTTTAATTTTCTAGGTGCCTAAAGCCGGTCGTAAAGCAAAACACGTTAAGCCGCCAATTGATTTGCTGAGAGACGACACTGAAGCACTGACAATCACCGATAACAGTGAACGAGTATATAAGCTCTGTTTATAAAGTTGTAGAAAGTTACAGACAATCAATTTTCACTTAAAAAATCAGTTGGTGGTTGGGGCGAAGAAACAAGCAGCGGAATAGGACATATATTCTTCGGGTATGTGGAGTCATAATTTTAGACCATCACAACACGATCTTGACAGAGAGATAGATAGAACGGATGAAAAATTCTCAATCGTTGATGCAGGTGTGCTAAAATTAATGATGTTTTTTGTCGTAAGTATGCTTGTAGGTTCATAAAATAGCTAATAAATTTAATCCAACCGTTCCCCTTTGAATTATCCTGACCATCTCAAGTCGGGTATCCAGTAATCCATTTCTACGATGTTCTTCGCTTCCGCTAATTAACTGTCATAATTAATTAACAAAAATATTCGAAGCCTTGGTTTAGTTTTTTTGTACGAAAACTAGTCGAAAAGTCGACCAACGTTATGATATTGGCCCTTCCGCTCACTTGACGCTAAGTTGATTGCTCTCCCCAACATTGCCCCATTCTGAGCGGTGTTTTTTCATTTAACTATCAGCCCAAGTTCTTGATTCTGGTATTTTCTAGAGAACACTGCTTTAGCTCCTAATTAGCTCCGTTTTGGAATTTGTCACCAAATTGTTGATGGAATAAAGCAACAACTTTTGTGAATGTGGGTAACTGGTAATTTCAACTTTTTATAAAGTGCTAGCTTGCTGATCATTCCTGTGGTATAGGCCGACTTTGACCAAAAAGGAATCAAATTGAATTTGTTAACCCTTTTGAACATAGTGGTTAATATACAAAAAATAAAAAAGTCAATGCTTCTCTGGGATTAAATGTTGTTGTAAAGGTAATCGGTACCTCTGAATATGTAGCTCTGTAGATATTCTAAACTGTTTGCGGTTCGTTCCAAGTAAATTTAGGTAAAATTGCTTTTTGCGACATTACAGAGTCTGATGAAGAACCTGGTGAGCTAAAGAAATTGAAATTTTGATGAGTAGACATACCACTACTTCCCGAAAGTGGAACTACTGACGATATTTCACAGGATTATAACATTTCCCTTGCCCCAAGGTTAGTATTCTTCATTGTTCTAACTTACCATGTTTCAAGAATAACGTGTGTTTAAATTCCCTATTGACGCTTGATTCTATTATTTACCTGACATAATGTCCAATAAATCACTTTTTTACAGATAGGAAGAACTTCCACCTAATAACCAATCTAAATAATCTGTGAATGACCATTACCACTAGGCCTTGACGGTAACTCCATGTATAGGTTTACAAACTAATCACCCTTCATACTAGGTCACCTTTTACCTTCCACGTAAGATCAAAACATTGGCTCATTATTACCTGCCCCATTTTGACTCGCCAAATCTACTGAGAGACTACTACGCGATAGCAGTTCACAGAAGTCGCCGTTAATTGTTTTTACCACTACTTTATATTCCGGGGACCAACCTAAGATGAGATCTTTCAAATTAATGTCCAGATAACAATATTCCATTTTCTGATTTAGTGTGGTGGTCAAAAAACTCCCAACACAGAGGGAATTGGAGGACGACGTACTCAAGTTCAACAAACTCAACCTGCTTGTAAGTAAACAGGTACAACAGAGTAATCCTGACTTTCAGGACAATATGACTGACCTGACGTTGCTCGCAGCTTTCCTGGATCCTGAAGAGGAGACTAGAGAAGCAGACGAAACGTGGGATTGGAATCGACTTCGTCTAAGTATCTCATAATGTTTTCTCTTAATATATTTGTCATCGTACTGCACTAAAACCCGTATTACCCTTCTTTGACAAAGACAACAGATTTGTGTTTGAACGACTTTATTAATAAGAAGGACTAGGCCTTATAAGAATACATGGGCACTTGGTCGCCTTTAATCAGCCTTCGCTCGACACCATCGCGTGAGATTATGCCGAGTCGAATACAGCCACCACTCGAACCATCCCTGTTTATTGCCAGCCCCACGCCTAAAAAGGGAGCAAACAATATCAAAACGAGTTTTGTGCAAGGCGCACGTTGGCGGACACAGTTTTAAGATATAATGCGGTTGATTAGATTTACTGGAGTAAACATGGGATGACGACCAGCTAGATTCTCGTCTAATATAGTGCCAAGATCATCAAAAGCAGGCTCATTTAATAAACTGATGCGTTTTGAAACAAAACAAAGCATTGCTGCCAATTCAACCTCAGGCAGCCCTCACAATCGAACCAGAGGACATTTCCATCATTCCGAGCAGTTGGAAACTGCGTATTAGACTGACTACATAGCAAAGTAACAGGGAATGGTGTGACTAATTAGAGTGTTTTCAAACTTCCTGCCACAGAGAAGACCAAAACTAGTAACTCAGTCATCAAAAGCTTACATTGGACTCTGTGATGTGTTTACATACAAGCGGATAATGGGAAAAGCTTGTCGCACAGTAACAATCAAAAACTTCTAATTCGTCTCCAAAAAACTAATATTCTGATACTTCTAACCGAAGCTTTAATGTAAGATCAAAGTTATCAGGTAACAACAAACCATATTTCGATCGCGTGTGACCGCAGTTAAGAGTGCATCATTTCTAATACGATATGTTGCCTTACCTATGCAAATATGTTCAGACTTGGGGTTCATTACATGCGATGCAAATAAATTAAAGCATTTACTTAGGAAAATAGCCGTATTTGTAAAGGTTTTCGCAAAGGAAATCAAAAGAACACCATTAAAATATGAACTCACAAGTGCTAACGAATTCTACTGCTTCTTCCTTATTCATACCAGGTTTAAAATGTGTATCAAACTGGCCATACAGATAGGTGCTGCCGGAACCGCCAATAACAGCTGGCTGTTTAATAAGCATGCCTCCAACGGGGATAGAATAAATCTAATCCAAATGTAGAGTGATTGAACAAACTACCTGTCCACCGTAGACAGCATCCCATCCTGCAACAAATATCCCAGCTAAAAGGTCGTCACGGTATTTATAACATAAGTTTTGGACAACTGTAGCAGCCTCTGCAACAGTTGGCTCACGGCCCATTTCAACGGAGTGAAATTCGAGTTGGTACTTGACAACATTAGTAATTGCCTGAGTGTCAGCAGCAGAGCCAGAACGGCAACAGTAGATGTACTTGGTGAGTGGAGTTAGCTTGTCAGTTACACGATTAGAAACAAAAACCCTAAAATCTAATAACCAAAGGCAAGCATAGTACCCTGAAGATGTGCGAGAATCAGCTCCTATTACAACACCACCATTATATTCACAGGCGACTAATGTGGTCTGGAAAAATTGGAACAAATGTCAAATTACCCCAGTGCTGACTTCGGTTTTCGACCAGTCCGGATACTGCTCGTATGACGGTAAAACATGTCCCACACACTCAGCAAAGGAGTCCATAGCCTATTGTGTGCTAGGAAGTCAAAATGGCATTTCAACAAGTTCTAGGTCGTTAAGACGGCCTCCATTGTTTCACTTACCTCTACACACTTTTGTTCCACTTTCTTCGGATGTCACTTTGCGTTGTTTTAGTAAGCATTTTTTTAACCAAGAGAACTTAATTAAATGGCACTTGATTGTGTCAGAATACTGCTAAAATATTAGAACAGTTGAAAGCACATTTTTTTCATTTTGGAATCTTTGCTGTCGTAGAAATTGAAATTCGATGCAAGCACTCTAACTGATAGACTTATCTGTTTTAACTTTTCTTTTTTTACAGCTTATCATTAGACCTTTAGGTTTATTAGTTCGGGTCGCATTGATTTCGTCAATCTTAAGGTTCGCACCTTTTACCTACTTAGTTTTTATTCTATTTCTCCATCCGCCTATCATTAACACTATATTGTACAAAACCGGGACCCTGTTGACTAATGTCTGTCTCGTAATTGGATAATCTGGCCTTATTACTCAGTGAAATTCAGAATTATTTGATCATCGGGAGCAAATCTGGTTTTCCTGATATAACTGTATTGGACACTTGCTATTTTCACTTTCATGCAGGTATTCGCTTTATATTTCCCAAACGCAGCTTGTTGACTGACTTTGAGCAAATTGATATTGACGCCTGAATTGTGGTATTTTCATAACGTAGAAATTCCATTAACACGTCAGAATTCCCACATAATGATGAGCTCCCAGAGCCTCTTATTTTGATTTACCTCTTATCCTTAACTCGCATGATGGCTTAAATCATGAATTGCTGGTTCCCGTAGGTTTTATTGTGTGCAGATTACAGCCAACCAGAAATGACTTACAAAATTCCACTCTCATTTTTTATATATTAAACGAGATGAGTTGAACATGGAACAAGAAATTGGAAATTCAGATTACCATGAAAATGACTAATCACCAACCCAAAATTTTGGAAATCTTTATGAGGGCAAATGCGTTTTAAGTCAATTTCTTGTGCTGTAAACTTATAAAAAGGTTCTCTGTTAATTTTCTGGGAACTAATAATCAAGATAGCTTTTATGATACCTTTTATATAATTGACGGTGTAAGTTTTTTTTTATGGTATTTCTCATCAATCTGTGATAAGCTCCTTATTAAGTTACTAATTGTAGAGAAAATTTAAGTTAAAGAAACTAATTGTTCTGCAAGGCAAAATTTGTTTTTCCTAGATCCTCGTAATTTTTTGCATCATGTACATTTCACCGGAACACATAGATGGGCTGATTAAGGGATAATTACGTCCAAATAGTCATTCTGAAATATAGCGCACCTCATTTCCGGGCTTCTATATTTCATTTTTCGTCTGTGCTGTAGCTAATCTTGTTCGATTTTTATATCTACTTATTTTTTTAAGTACATAATAATGCCAAGTAATTGCTTTTTGCCCCAGTAGTCTACAAAAGAATGATTTAACTTGTTCTTCGTTGTCAGCCCCTAAGCTGAATTTTTCAACAAAAAAGTTTTTTTATATGTCTTTTTAGTTTCTACTATTAAAACCAGGCAAGAGGCTTTCTCAGTATTGGAGCCAAGTGAGTGACATAAAATGCCACCGGTTATAAACGCAGCCATTGTTTCCCTTTAATGTTTTATTCAAGTTTTGAATGTTCTGGAAGAAACGTCAGAGTTAGATCCTTTAAACTCTTTCTTTTGTCGCTCCTTACTTTAATTTCTATTAATCGATCGATGATTGCCAGTGATTGATTTATAAGAAGCGTTAGGTTAATTATTCACAATTTTTATGGGGGACTTGTGTGTGAGAATTATTATACTTTTCGTTGGAAACATTTTTCCTTCTAGAGTAAGTGTCGATTTAATTAAACCTGCCCCACTATCTGCTGTCTTCGGGTTTTGTTATGAATATCACCCAATCAGAGACACGCGGGAAAAAACCGTGCGAGTCTACCCTCAATTGTCTGTTTTTCAACCAAATTACAGGAACCCATGCGAAAATTTTGCTTAATTTCCCACGTCAGTGCTCGCTGTAAAAGGCGTCCGCCCTGTTCAAGAGTTAGGTGCTTAATTTGTGACAGTTAAGCAAATTAAGCTTACGTTTGATCATCTGGGAGAGTTAATCGAACAGGAAAAAAGCCAGTTGTTGCATACAATAATGATGACTAGTTAATAAACCACTCTGATTCTTCGAAATAAAGCCCTTTTCTTCACTCGCAGTGGAATTGAAAACAATTACTTGTGCTGTGGCTCATCAATTAGCCAGTGGCCTCTTCACTAGGCCTTCATTAGCGGTGCGAATCTCCACCACATGCGTGCAGAAGAGTGTTGTTTGTGTCCTAGAAATAAGCCGTGTAGATGGCCCACGGCATAAGCACATTACCCACTTGCTTAAATATGGGCCGCACTGAGTGAGCCAGTTAATGGTTGAGACGATGGTCAACCAGACACAAATGACTAACAGTGTCTCGCTGCGCGTAGGATTGATGCCATGGTTGTTTGGGGCCAGAACGGGCTCGCAACGTGCCAAATGCGACTACCGAGCTCGTGGCAAACAATCAGCTGTTTTTTGAGCATCCAGCGTAATGGCAACCGTGCTACATCTAGTATACCATCCAATGAATTTGGTGGCTCATGCTATTTAACTTGTCTTTACACTAGAACGATCGATATTCATCCGACTAAATCGCCCTTCGTGTGAATCAACCGGCTCTGAAGCCAAACTTCCGGTTGTGTTATGTGCGTTTTCCGTGCACTCACGCTGGCCACGACTTCCTGGCTGGAGGGGGACCCTCGGCCCAATGATTCGTGTGACTCACACTCACACAAAACATTTGTTTCTACCATCCCAACAGCCACATGCGCTATGCCTGTAGTCCACTACCCAGCCATGAGTCACATGTTCTAAGCCTTACTGACAAACAATGCCGCACACTGGCTGAAACTAACGCAGCTCTGAAAAGGTACTTACCTATTGCTCTTTCACTATTCCTAGCCTTTCAGCTATCAGCATTCGTGTTACTTTGACTCGGCCTCGAATTTCAAACCATTGGCAGTTATAAAAGCACGCTTACCTATCAACAACATGAGCCATTACGCTCCAAATTCAATTTTTCTTAGACAATCTACATGTTCGTGTATGGTGAAGTGTTAAAAGCCACACTTTTGAAGCATGACTGAGTTTGCTTAATTGGAAATAGCATATATTCGTCTAAAATAACTTTGACCAAAATATTACTTACGAGCATCTTGTCTTTTCTGCGCTTCGTTACCAAATCAGTCTTCCGCGGATGGACCACGAATAGATTTACGAGTACCCGCAGTAAATTTGTGCGAGTAGTTTTCGAGGGCGTTTCCCTGCAGCCACCTCCATTTGATACAAAGTTGCATCAAATTCCTCAAAATTTTTATCAACTGGGGCGGCCCCAATTCAGCGGGTTGATCGTTCACTCTCAGCCCTGGATTAAACCTCAAATAAATTCTTCATCTCAGTGAGGGGTGTCAAACCACCAAACATGGGGTGGCCACACTTCGCCACCGAGGCTTTAACGCGATCTTCATTTGTAAACCTGACAGGAAGTGGGAGTTTAAGGAGTATTAAAAGGCGCGATCACCTTCTCCGCGATAGAGCAATGTGGTAGGTCCGGAAAACAGGTCCCTCTCTGCAATGCCAACCTTAAGTTTCGTGTTAAGAAAATGGCCGGCTCATTCCCATTATACAAATCTACGGACGGACAAGCTGCATAATGCTGGACACCAACGTTTCCTACGCTGCAAGAGAGGAGGCGGTATTCGAGTCAGTTGAACCGATCGGTCTTTACATTAGCGGATTTTGCGACTTGTTGCTGGAAGTCGCTTGTGCGTGGCTTGAGGCCAGCTAGGTCGTTTGCAGAAGGAGTTTCCGTGAATTCTCAAGAGGGAGTGCGTGTGGAAGTGACGAATTCCAACATGTTGGCCCCCTCGTTGTTAATGAGGTCCACCTGCTTACGACTGAGCCACCACACTAGTCGGCCCTCCATCCAATTTCTCGTAAAGGTGCTCCGTGGCAAAGCTTAGCAGGAGCACGTTTTGTGTGGTCTCGCTTTGGCAGTAATCATAAGCTTTTTCCGATTCTTTAGGATTTCAGTTCATTCCTCGCTCTCCGTCAATTCCGGCATTGATGGAAACGATTGTAATCACATTTCACCCAGTGTTATTTTTTTTTGGCAAACCTTCTCTCTCCATTCCGTTGGATGTGTGGAAGTAAATGCAAGAATCCTGGCATCTCCTCCATGACAAAATTACCAGACAACGTGTTCTCCTTCCACAATCGTTCATGGAAAATTGTGTCATTTTGAAATGGAAGAGACGAATACTATTCAAACCCAGCTGATGTGTTGCAAATTCTAGTCCATAGGAACACATCATGACAAAATGTTCGGACTCCAACGATTACTAAAAGTGTGCGGTGCGTGTCCGAGTAAGGTGCCCCCAATTAGTATATATATTCGGCAAAAGTTGAGTTTTTGGCTGATAGTGGAGTGAGTGATTGTTTTGGCACACAGCCGCGCACCCTGACCCCCCTCGTCCAGCATCCTCACAGGTTGAATGAATTTTGCGCTCATCGCCCCGGTTCGAGGCCCCGCCGGTCATTCGGCCAGATGTCCCACCGAAATTAGATGGCAAATAACTTTGACAAAATTTCAAGACTTTAGCAACTTCAAGGATATACAGGAATACAAGTATAGGATTAGGATGTAGAAAATGTCAAAGAACGAAAAGATGTTACACCTAACGGATGCTCTCAAGTCAGAAAGGAGCGGAAACAAATGTCCTGCACTAAGCTATGCAAATTGTTCCTTGCTTTTTGAACCATTATCAGAATACGTTGGTTACCGTACGTGCAGCTCTGTCAGCGCGATGCGAACAAAGCAGTTTTTGTTTCCGTGAGTGACACCACATCAACATGAGGGTAGACGAGATTGGTTGCAGATGTCTCGCTTAGTCATGCATGTGCATCGTCCGCATCTTCCTAATGCATCAGTCCCACCTGGAGGACTCGGCTTTTTGGGGTGGGCGATGGGAGGGCGGGTGGCGATGCCTCCCACCCAGCGGCGTTCCCTCCTCCGATCCCGTCCTCATTTCACCAAGCACCACATCCCAGACATCGAGATAGGCTACATGTGCACGCCACGTCATCTCGGTGCTTATTTGCACAGATGGTGTGCGTGAATTCACGCAGTACTCATCAAGTCAAGGCAACTTGTGTCCGAGTCAGTTAAAAGTGCGGCTGCAAAGTTCGCTTGGATTGAAAAAATGTCAAAACTCCACTTGGATATTCACAGTCAGTCACGATAAATTGCTCCTGTTGGAAACAAAA